CAAACTTATAATGGTAATAAAGGAACGGTGAAGGTTGTGTGCGATAACTGATGAAAAATGTGCAAATGATGTATGGTTTTCATATTTTATGAACACACTATAATTTTGCATAAAAAAAATTGTTTTCCCTCACCTGATTACAATTAGTATGTCACAAATTTTGTATTAAATCTCATATAAATTGGTTATTCTAAGTAGCAACAGTTTAATGTTTACTTATTCACTAAGTAACGTTAGTCTGTAGGGAACCTTAACTCCAAAAAATGAATTTCATTAACGGATTTCAACTGAAATTCCTTTTAAATTATTATCATTTATTTATTTCAATCTATTTTCTGTTGATTACAATGAGTAGGTTAATAAACAAACTGTAAAGAACCACATCTTTACACCTGAAATATCTATTTGGTAAGAAGAATCAATCAAGTAAAGAGATTTCTTTTCAGAGATACTTCATTTGTTGGTTAAACAAGAAAGTACAAGATGTTTTGAAGTTTTACTTAATTCTATACTATACATTACTATAATTAAGTCATAGTAGCTAAAGATATTTGAGTTTAGTAAGATCATTATCAATAAACATCAATAGTTATATGTTACAAAGAAAATGCTCGTATGTCAATTGACTAAATATTTTACCTAAATGTTTCATCTTTGTTACGTTTGTCTTAAAAACAAAACACCGATGTTGTACAACAACAACAGTCGTTCACGTAAACTGTCATTTTAAATTTAAGTTAACTTTTTAATATGTTTCAACATTTTTTACGTAATAAAGAAATTACAATTACATGTACAATTTACTAATTAATGTAAGTTATTAATTTTCACTTGTATATAAATATACTACTGAATAGCGATGCATGTATGAATATTGTGTTACACCAATATAAAATTAAAAATAAGGATAAATTATACATTTAAAATATTAAGGTAATATCTACGGATATGAATTAAAGTATCGATTATTTTAATTGTTTTGTTTCTTAGAAATTGTTACACGGATACAAATAAGTACGATAACACTAATTAATAAGTTAAAATCAACTTTCATGACCAGATTAAATCAGATGATGAGCTATTAATTTTAAAACAACTTCAAAGAACTGTCTTCCTATTTTGGTACTTTTTGATAAAGCATATTCGTTAAATAATAGATTCTTTATGTCTCATAAATAAAACGACGCATTCCGGTTGCTGATTCATTTTTCCGTGATTTACATTTTCCAATGTTAGCACAACACATTTATCAATTATTGCCAATGCAGAATGATTGACTGCCAGATTTTTATATGACTTTTAATTGAAAATTCTAAGAATCATCTAATGTCTAGTGGTAAGTAAACGACTATTATAGAAATATGTCAAATGAAATTTACGAAATTGCCCAAGTATGTCAACTTAATTCTTTGAATATTTTATGTTTGTTTTGTTATCTAATGTTTTTGGGTTAAATTTTGAGTGTGAACTACTGATGTGGCTTATAGTAAGATAAAATACGTGTATAACATTCAATGGTATTCTATAGATCTTTGCTTGATGTCACTCCTTCAGGAAATTTAGCTATGAACTGACCTATTGAGACAAACATTTCATTCAAATGTAAGCAACAGTTTTGAGTCTCAAATATTACGTTAAATCTTCATTCGATGAACTAGTTTTCATTACTGTCAATAATGATGCAGATAATTTTATGCGTATGTGTCTGTGTTTTCTTGGTTGTTGATAAAATTGAGTCACTGAGCAATCACTATTAGCGTAAGTGCATTCTGCCCCAGCCGATTATATGCTACAGATAATTAAATTTTTTAGCCTATGATTTCACTGCTAATCATAGCCCAACTTTTTTGTTGATGATCTGGTAAAACGTTTAAGTAATTCATCTACTTATTTAATTAGTATTCCATTTAAAATGTTACCAACTGATATTCTTCCAACGATTCAGTCGTTATTATAATAAAAAGCTGGAAGAGGTCAGCATCATACCTGACATTGATTTACTGGCGAAAGTAATTCTAGTTGTGTCGTTAATAATTTATTCATTCAGAATTGAATCCGAATATGTGGATAGTGTTATCAAATATTAGCAGTCTTCGTGTTACTCAACACTAATGTAATGTAAACTTGAGGCATCGAAAGATTATTCATATTATGGCAAAGTAACTGAATTTCAAACATTGTTCTATATATTTCTACTTTGTTTTCTGTGCGGACTTATATGTTTTCAGACTGTACTTTATTTGGGTTATCAAGCTTTTAAGATGATTTCACTGAAACTATTGTTCTTAATCGAAAATAAGCATCTCCAACAAAACTGATTGTTAGAAAGTTTTAAAATTACAACTTGAAGCAAGGACACGTTTTGGTGAAAACCACGTTCCATATCATGGCCATGATGAGTGTATACAGGAGAAACGAAAACTAATATGCTCATTTTCATAAAATCAATGTAGCCCTTTTTGTCAGAGTGAAGCTTTTACCTCTAGGAACCTATGTAAAGGACTATTTTTTAACGATAATATGATGCACTGTCCTTGGTAACGTGAACGATTTTGTTGTAATAATACATGTTACTATAACCGTAAAGATTTGAGTAAAATTAATTTTACTAATTTAAGATTTGATAGTAACTACGAAAAAAAGATAGTTATAATGACTGAGATATAAAAACAAAACACTAACATTTAAGCCATGCATAAGTTCATTTATATTAATTAAAAACTTGAGATATTTTATATATGTAGAACAATTACGTAATGAGATCTATTTTTAAGACAATATTCCTTAGGTGATTGTGTTCCAAATGCTTCATCTAGAATAGATATTGTCATCACGTCAATAATCATCTGATACATGCATTCTCTATACGGTGGTATTACTTCTATGAAAGTATCCTCACAAAACACGATTTGTATATTTTCGTATAGATTTTTGAAATTATAGGTAATATCACGAACTGGCTATGAACAGAGAGAACTATTGGATATCAGATAGCACTGGAGAGTGGTCTTACCACAGAATACGGTTGTGAATTAGTTCACACCCAGTACTTGGACAAGGATCGTGCTCAAAAAATTCACACCTTGTGGCAAGTGCCTAGCGTTTAAATCATTTTAAATTCAGCACTTGGTTGTCCAATGCTTCTAGGTTTTCGCTTGTTATTTAGCTAAATTCTGTCAGTGAAGTATGCCAATAAAATATCAGTTCATCAAAAAATGTCTCCTTATACAATTATAATGGAGATTCACCTTGTGGAATACTGTGTAAAACGTCGTGAACGGTAAAACTGTTCAAAAATCTTTTTATTTGAATTCCTTTTTTTGTCAATTAAAGAAAATAATTTTGAGTATTACAGTAGTCGGTGCCCGCTGGAATATTGCTTTTCATCGTCAACATATATCGTATCATATTTATTGAAAAGGCTTTATTAGACTGTGTATTTTTTTTGCTTACTTCAGTCTACTAATAATAGTTAATTGAAATGCTTAATATGATACGAACAATATGTTGAACAGTTACATTGATTTTTTAGTTGTTTTTTTAAGCCAACGGTAATTAACATACAATTGTGATTATTATCATCATTTATTGATTTTCTGTCTCTTAGACTGTTGGTATTTTATCGATATTTTTTCTTAGTATATCGGTGAATATTATAATTGTATTCTAATAGGCATTCATAATTAGATCTCTTATATTTCTTTAAGTTGAACAAAAGTGATTTCCTGAAGCTTATTGAAGATAATTTTCAGTTTTCATCAGGATCATTTATTTGGTTGTGTTATGATGAAATAATCAACTAGTAAACTACCGAAATGTAGGCGGCAGATTAAATGTTGATAAACAAGTACTTGATGGCGTAACCTTGCTCTAAATGACAATGCCTAAAGTGATAACAAATGACCAACTTACTTGATATAATGAAAGGGAGAATAATTTGATTTTCATGGTGTTGTAAAAGTTAGCTAGTCACTATATAACACATAGTTATTAACGATTCCACAGATATGTCATTAAGTAATCAATAAGACCTCTGTGTTGATGGTTTATTTAACCAATAGAGGTATTTCTAAATAATTGAAGAACTATTTATAACAGGGTTTACGTACACTGTTAGTTGATCATTTAAGATGAGATCAACTCAATAAACAAACATCAACTGCTCATTTATAGAGCATCGTCCTACCTGGAGTTTGTGCTGATGATATCGTTCAGAAGAAAGATGAAAGCTCCACGACTAAACCATCCAGCTCAGTAAACATAACTCCACCAAGTTATTCAGTGTTTATTGCTAACTAAATCACAACAAGAATTTTCATTTATTTTAACGATGAAATAGGTTGTGAAACCTATGTGTTTTAGCATAAGTAAGCGAATCGTATTCAGTTTCTATCTTCGAAACTAGCAGTTTTGTCAAGAATCGAAAACCTTACATCAGTAATTAGACTCATGAGCAATGAAATGAACCCAAGCTTCTGTTTAGTATGTGCTGAAACTAAAGGTGATACTTGGTTTCCGCTCTCATCATAGCATTAAGTTATTTCAAAAAATAATGAGCAATGTTCAGCCTGGTACCGATGTATAACACCAGCTACGGTTTCACCAAGTACATAACAAGAAGTTAACAAGGTGAAGTATTAATTGTGTTAGGAAAACGAAGAAAGAAATTTTAATTAAATGATGGGCGAAACGCTGTTGATCAGTCGAAATTCCTTTAAACATATAATAAATAGAACTTTATTTTTTAACAAATGCAAGTTAATTGTTGCATTATATTTGTTTCAATGTGCTAATTTACATTAAACAGTGCAGTATAGACTAGTCTAAAAACGTTTTTGACACAGTATAAATTTGGAAAGTTTCAGTTGCATAATAATTAACATTTTTACGTCGATGAGACAAACAGAATTATATTGCTCAACATGATACTGTTTTTAATAAGTAATATGCACAACATATCTTTCATAGAAAACAAATTATTATACAATGTAAAAGCTTACCAAAATCATCTATACAAAATGAATCTTGTAATAATGGTCGACCGCATGATCTACATTTTGGTTTATAATTCCATGGTAATTGCAAATTGTTATCATCATAAGGATGGTTTGGCTCTTCCCGTGGGTATCGTCTATATCGTAAACTGTACCACGAAGGTAAATTATGAAATGCGTTCAGTCCTTCGTGTGGATATAAAATATTAGGTTGATTATATTCATCGATTGGACGTTTTCGATTCCCTTGATAATCAGGATATGTTTGAGAATAAATATTTGGTAGTTGTGGTTGATCTTGTAATTCTTTTCGTCGAACAGAATTCTTTATGACTTCAGAACTCATATTAATTGATGATACATTTCCTGAATAAATAAATCTATTAGAAGTGATTGTAGTTGTTAATACAGATGGTGTTGTAATTTGACGAGCAGATGAAGCACGTTCAATCCAATGACGATTTGAAGGACGTTTAATTTGAACAGCAGTATGGACCTTAATTTCTTCCTTTGTTTGTTCAATATATAAAGTAATTATAAACAAGATAATGAAGAGAAGATAATAAGAAGGCGACGCTTCCATAACTAAGTAAAGTTTTCGTCTAAATATCAATGTTTTTTTCTATACTATATAAATTTTCAGATAAAGGTTTTGTGTTTGTTATATGTATATTTATAAAAAGTCCAAGAGTATTTTTATTGAAAATCACCATTTAAATAAATCGTTCAATAATGACTGTGTTCAATTGTTATTTCAATCTATATTTCATAATTTTCAGTCACATTCAAATGTGTTAAAGCTAGAAGGTTAGTTTGCATATAACCACAAATTGTTGAAATACATTTTCTTTTTCTAAATTCGACCAAAATTTCTTCTTCACAAACGAGTTGGATTTTTTTATCTGTTTTAATATTCAGCATCACTTATTCATCAGTTGAATTAAAGTTCATACAATATTCTTCCCGAAGAAAATATTTTAACCAATCAAAACTAACTATTTTCTAATATCATTAATGCTTTGAAAGGTGATTGGTTAATTTATTTGTTTGTTTTTTTTAATTCCTCATTTCATTATCTCGAGTAATAATAGTCAAGACACGTGCTTTATCCCATTTTAGATGAATATTCGAATATTGTGTATTTCTTATTTTTAATGACATCGTAAATAAAACTATGAACACAATACTGACCACTTAGAAAGTGTGTTATAGAGTTGAAATAACTTTTCTACTTGTTATCTTATACTATTTGAATTTGTGTTCATTTAATTTCTTTTTTTTTAAAAATTACTCTCTAATGAAGTGACTTGAATTAATAAAACGTTGGAAGTTCCAATTTTTATTCAATGAGATACTACAAATGTATCATTATTTTACTATGATCAGTCAAACCGGTGATAATTAATAAAATATTTTAAATAAAATGATTATTTTATCCACAATAAGTTGTTATGAGCTCTCAGTAGATAAGTGGACAACGTAATGGAGTTTGAAGCGAACTGTGCCGGGTTTGAGTCCTGAAGTGAACATCAATTCTGTGATACAGGTATTTTCAGCTGACGAAACGCGCATCATTAATTCCACTACCAGCCACTATCCATCTTTGCTTATGAAGATTGTGATTTAAGGCAATATCGATGCTATACGCTCAGCATGCATATATATCAATAAGAGACTGATCAATTGCAGTCCTAAACATCAATGAGAAGATTCAAGTAAACAACACCAAGTGAATTTGCCTTAAATAGTTATTCATCCAAAGCATTTTAAACATAAATGCGTAGTTTTTTATATTTTCTTCGGATATTTTAACATTAAGATAGTATAAACTATTGGTGACCAACAGTCATGAATCCTATATTTCTATATCGAAGTATTATCTTCGACATCACTTGAAATATATCTCATCTAATGCAATTTTGGTAGAAACGCATTATCATATGATAGTTTTTTATGTACAGAAAAATTAGATTTTTTTAGATAGATTTGAAAGATACTTAAAAGTCAGAACCCATTATTAAAATGTACATTTTGCAAACGAAAAATATAATCATGTATTTACAACTAATTATTTCTATAGAAAATTAAAGTTGTATTCAGTATCAGCTTTGGGTTACTTCATAAAATACTTAATATCAAATGATTTCCACAAGAGGGTACTTTATTCTATTTGTATGCAAGCAAAAGCCTACATTTTCAAATGAAAAGAATTTTATACTTCAAAATAAGCAAAAGTCCTTATTCCTATATGTTTGTCGTTTTGAAAACAACTTACTTATACCCCTAACAACAGTTGCGTTCTTGTGATAATCACAAGATGAATCAATATGAATGATAAAATACCGATGGCTTAGGATCAAACCTATGTTGCATAATAATATATTACAGTTTTAAATTGTAAAAGAAGCGAACTGGTGCATATTTAAGTACCAGTATAAAGTATTATAAAAACCGACAAAACTGAATTACACAAAGATTTTCTTGAAACGGAAATAACATTTCGAAGTTCACATTACTGCCGGACTTCGGTTGAACAACCACCGGAAACCGTAAACCATTGAACAAGTATTTTACAATAGTATCAGATGCCTTAGCATTTCACATCTAGAAACTTAGAAAGAATCAGAACTAGGATATTCATACCTCATGGTGAATGTTTAACCATCAGATAACTGAGCTGGTATTGAGTGGTTTATGGTTCTTATTTCAGACGATTAGCAATACTGCACAACCATCTTCCATTAGCATTAAAACCTTTTGTCTCATACCCATAAAATATAGTTTGCGGAAACCAAATATTTATCAAGAATTGTCTAACAACAAATACCACGGTGACTGAAACAGTGAACATTGAATTTAGTTGATTAGAATAAAGAGATAGAGAGAGCCTTTAAGCAGAACATAACAGCATTGTTTGTTTTCGTATACTTACAACGTTTTACTACATTTCAATCTTTTATAAATCAGTGACAGTTCTATGGTTCCCGACCGTTGCTGTTACCTTGACGTGAATGTCGGTCTTGCCTATCGTGATGAACTTATCAAACTATACTGGCTAGAACAATTATTCCCCAAGGTCCTACCATTCCATACAGATCGATTAAAAAACGGTAAGATTAAAAGCAGCAAAGCCAAGGTCCGACGGCGAAGCCCTACTGCTAACTGTACAGAGGTGTGACGGCAGTAGTGCGTTTCTTTCAGACAACCAGCATAACAGCGATGCTGCCTCCCACAGCGAGGGTTGTGGTTAGAAAACGTCAACTCTAAAAATACAAATCTCGCTTTATCCTGCGGTTTTCCGTCTTTGGCGGTAAGGTTCCAATAAGTACGGGGCTAACACGAAAATTACTCACAAAAACGTCGTTTATTACTGACTCCAAGCAGTTGTATATTGGGCACTGCGATCACGCCCTCAGAACCCTAAGGTTACCCTAATCCAACTTCCTTTTCAGGTACCTCCAGAATAACCCTTCCACGGTGTGGAAAACTGAGAAGTGATAGCTGCCCTCATATCTCTTTCTATGTAGTTCTATGGTTATCAGTCTTGCTGTAAAAATACTAGGTTCAAATCCTTTAGTCAAAGTGCAATGCTTCTTATTCCCATATTCAATCATATAACAACACTGCATGTCCCAGAAACTCCAACAAATCATGAAAGAACTGAATTTAAGTTCTCTAGGGGTTGCGCTTGAGCATGATGTAAACCGATTTCCAAATAGATAATCCCTAGAAATTGTCAAGACCGATAAATAGTTCTCCGAAAGAAACTGTAAAATTCAAAACTGAAAATATTTTATGAATCAACTAAGATTTATGCGACATTTATTTTCTTTCATTCCACATTCCTTGAACCACTTCATATTTGTGATAAGAATGATGATGTACCAGTAAGAAGAATATTTTAAACCAAATGATACTAAAGAAATAAAACGAAATTCAATCTTTAATTAAAAAACCCTCTAATTTTCTTGTCTAAGTAGTGGTGTATCACTTTATCTTCACTACTAATCACCCACCACCAATGCTTATTCAGACAAGATCCAATTCTTTTATACATTTTATTACTTCCAGTCAAGAGAATATTCATTAGATGATGAAACTGAGCAAGAAAGAAAACACACACACAAAAAAATGTTAGACTGTTGAAAATAGTTTTTTTGATTAGAGAAACATAAAATAACTGAAAAAAAACTCTCTGCATGTGTGCGTGTGTGTGTGCGTGTATATGTATGTGAGTGTAAAAAGTGCCGTTTAATAATGAGATTTTTTTTCAACTGTTCAGGAAGAAACTATGTAAAATTTACAAATTTATACCAAACTAAGTATTAACACGTAACCAAAAAAATGTATCCAATGGAATTGTTATTTCCCACTTAAAACTTCAATTTAACCAAGTTTGTATTTATTTTTAATTTTAAAAAAAAAACAAAAAAATTCTAGTAAATCATATTGCTTGTTTTTTTTCTCTTGTTTTATTTCATTCAAAATTATGTGTCTGAAATGAATAAGATTTTATCGTTACTGTAGATACTATATGTCCTCAATTCCTAATTAAATCAACTAGATTTTGTTTCTCAAAAAAAAGAAACAACGTTGGGTAATGTTTCATTTTAACAATAAAGAAGATGAAACCAACACACATGTAAAATATATATTAAAGCAATGTGTATAAGCATATAAACATCATTTAGTTTCAAAATGATGTCTAATAAATTACTAATATTATTATCAGTAGTTGTAGATAATTTTCACATTTTTACAGGTAGTCCATTTTAATTATTCATTAATGAAATATTTTCAAAAAGGTGCAATGTTATTTTTTTTTACTTTTAAAATAAAAGAGTTGCATAGATACTACTGTACAGTGTATAAAGTGTGGTGTAGTCTCCCTCTCTCCCTCTCTCTCTGTATAATATATATATATATATATATATATATATATATATAAAAGAAAAGTTGCAAAAGATAGGAAAAGGAAGAAAGAAAGAAAAACAGTCAAGTTTGAAATATGAACACCAAGAACTAGAAATTCATATAAACATTCATTAAAGAAATTGTTTAAAGTTTTCTTGGACAAAAAGAATGTAAATGATCATTTTAATTATGGTTTATTAGTTTATTAAATATTATAGTCATTAATATATTTAAATTATTATTTTGATAATGATAAACATTAATGTATCGGTTTTAATGGAAGGTAATATTATAAAAAAAATATTCAAAGTTTACTTATTAAGCTAAGAAATGATCTGAAATGATCATTATTATCAGTCATTATTATTATTATTGTTATTATGATCAAAGCTTATGACATTTCATTTGGTTTACAATAACAGAATTCCTTTTTATGCTTACATTGCATGTTATGTATAACTGTCTTTAAGTGTACTGAATATCCTGGTAGCGAAAATGAAATTCACTAATAATAACACTAAATCACGAAGGTAATTTCATAAACACAGTCATTCACGATTTAACTATATGAATCAAAAAAGATTATTCATTAAAACTATATCGGAAAATCTTTTTAAAAAAAACATACTTATTTTTATTTTAAGCGACGTTGAAGAACATCTTTTTGTTGTATATTAACATAATTGTTTGGTACTATTTTTTTTCAATTATTAGTTTACCGATATCAATTCAACTTAACATGCTTGAAGATCATGTTAGGAATTGTTATTGTAAACAATCAGAAGTTAGAATTGAAGTAAGATTTATCAAGGACTTGATTCATTTATAAATATATGCGGTACAAAACTTTAGGAGTAAAAGTCAAGTATCTTTATAATGAATGTATCAAATAGGTGAAATAGCACTCTGATGTATAATGTTACATCTAACGCCTTCTTGAACCTATACAATTATCCAATATATGATTGAAATACAAATGTTTCTACCATAAGAGGTGTACAGTAAGCACATTGAAG